GAAGGCTATCGTTTATTAACAATGACAGCCTTGCGTCAACATGGAATAACCCCTATTATATTAATCCGGTTGGTAACTTGATATATATCCTTTGGGAAATAACACATAGCCTATATTGGAGGTTTCTAGGATTTAATGACGTCGCAATCAATTTGCTGACTGTGCTGGAAGTCAACCAATGAAAATATGCAAACACACCTTGGTTACCCGGATGCGACTTAGTTTAAAGTGGTCTATATAAGATGGTTTATTCTCATACATAGTATACATATAAATATATTCATCGGAGTGCATAGGCCTACCTCCACCCTGTACCTGAATAACGAATAATATACGCAGGGCATTGGCGACTACATTATTTTCTCTTATTGTATCACAGATAGTTTGTTGGTAAGTAGACCACGTTATAGAACCCTCAGAATTGCATACGGCAAATGTCGTATGCTATCATTATTTTCTGTGTTATGTATGCCTTGCATGGTTTTAAGGAGTTACAACACCAGTCGAAGCCTGGGGCCTTCCTCTTTAAAGCAAACACAAATGGCTTGCTATTGGTGTTTTTGTGATCGTTTGGTGCTAAGGTATTCAGAGATGTGAGTAGTGCCAAAGTGCGAGCCAGCGAGTCATGCGAGCCAATGTGCGAGTCATGCGAGCCGGCCATGCGAGCCATGGATTTATTTATTTATTTTTTTCAGATTTTCCAGTTTTGCAAACAGGTAGGCCTAGCCTATATTTTTTGGCCTAGTAGATGCAAATGAATAACACACCGGGGAGCTTTTCCTGTGTAGTCCAGTCATGCGCAGCACATATACTTTTGATTTTTTTCGAGTCGTCGATCCGAAAGTATGCAGCGCTGATAGATGTTGTTAAAATACAGATATACAGATACATACATAGAGATATATTTATATATATATATACTGTATTTATTTATATATTTATATATATATTATTTTATATATACTGTATTTATTTATATATTTATTTATATATTTTTATATTTATTTGTATATTTATATATATATATTTATTTGTATATTCATTTATATATATGTATATATTTATTATATATTTATTTATATACTTATTTGTATATATATTTATTTATTTATATATTACTGTATTATTATTTTATATATACTGTA